AATTGAGGATTACATGACATCAGATGGGAGAGAAAGATGAGGTCAGAATTGAAGGAGGAAACATCAGGCTTGCATTTTAAATAAGAGCAACAACAAAAAAACACAGCAGTTTTGTTCGTCATGTGAAATTACATTCACACACATCCTTGTGATGTTCAATTTACTCTAGAAAAGACATGCTTTGTTAGACCACTACAGTGGTACCTCAGGTTACATATGCTTCAGGTTACAGACTCCGCTAACCCAGAAATAGTACCTCGGGTTAAGAACTTTGCTTCAGGATGAGAACAGAAATCGTGCTCTGGCAGTGCAGCGGCAGCGGGAGGCCCCATTAGCTAAAGTGGTGCTTCAGGTTAAGAACAGTTTCAGGTTAAGTACGGACTTCCGGAATGAATTAAGTACTTAACCTGAGGTACCACTGTACATTATTTGTTTGACTTTCACATTTGTGATTTTCACACTGTGATTTCCTCATTCCTTCCAATGTCAGCCAAACCAGAAGGTACTTTGAGCTGTATTAAACTCCTCACCCCCCCCAAGCAGTAACTGTGAGACCCCTTGATTAGGGTTGGGCTGGATTAACCCTTTATATCCTGCTACAGCATACCCTCCAACATTTCTCTGATGAAAATAGGGACATCCTATTTAATAATAATAGTAATAATAAATAAATAAATACTTATACCCCACCTATCTGACTGGGTTGCCCCAGCCACTCTGGGTGGCTTCCCAGATATTTAAAACATAATACATTAAACACTGAATTTTTTCCCCCTTTGTAGGGCTGCCTTCAGATGTCTTCTAAAGGTTTTATACTTATCTACTTGGCATGGGTGTGTGTGGGTGTCACATAACTATTCTCACTGTACTGAAATCAGTGCTGGATCTCATACTTTGTGGTCTGTACACATCCTGCACTGGCCCATCTTGTCTAATTTGCAAGTTGATTTCTCGTGTACAGCAGCTCTTGAAATGGAGTATGCATTCTTAGGGAGATCTTTTGTCCATTTACATACATGTGCGAAAACACCACTCTCCCTGCTCTTGGTTATTTTTTTATGGTTGAGCATATATTGCTAAAAATGCATACGTTGCAAGCATGAGAAAACAGTTGCTAAGAGAGGCCACACTAGCAAACCATGCATACCACCCTCCAGTATAAATGACTGAAAATGAGAGTCTTGCTTTTGTCATTCTAATATAATGGAACTATGAGTGTGTTGTGTTCACTCAGCTTTTGGAATATATTACAATCTGGTTTATTAGAAGCGGTGCATGTGATTTAATTTGAGTGACTTGCATTGGACTCTATGCAAATAGAACCAGAGTGCTGACCTTCTAAGGAACCTCGCTTCAGAAAAATGATTTAAACATGAGTGCGGAAACAATAAACCATTTCAACGCCAGCACAATGTTTAGATTTTTCTCAGTAAATTTGAATTGTTTCAAAGATCTGAGATGCTCTAAAATGAAGGGTTGTGGGAGCCAAGCTACTCCTTTCACAGAGGAAATAGCAATGCACTATTGTATTCCCTGGGAAAAATATGTCTCTTAAAAGTAAAGCTGGAATTGGGGACTCTTGGCTCCAGAGGCAAAAAGTAGCCTTCCGAGCTTCTCTTATCGGACCAACATTATTCTTTCCAGGCTACACTCTTCACCAGCCTTGCTTTACTCTCTCTCTCTCTGAGTGCTCTTGCCTGGATGGAACATGTCTTTGAACTGAATGTTTATTGCTTGCCTGGATGGAGGATAGAGGGCTGTGCGTATGCAGCAACTAGTTTACTACACAAAGGGAAGGATGGCATCCATTGCTCCACCCACTTTCACCTCTGGCTCCACCCAACACTGACATGTTGCCCTGGAAAGGTTGCTCAGGTAACACAGCTCTTGAAAAATGCTCCCCAGCCATGGACTAAGGGAAGAGATAGTGAAGCTCCAGATAATGAGAGCCACAAGGCCAGTGTGAGAAAGCTTGCTCACTCACGTTGTCTTACTTTGATGCATCGTTGTATTGAATAGAGAGCTTTGCTTAGCAGATCCTTCTTCAGTGCATGAGTTAAACTAAACAGTCAGGATCCAGAGTTGCTTTTTTAAGCTCCGTTCCTGACTGCCCAGCGTATACTCTACCACGACAGGCTGTGCAGTTGCTTCTGGTGGCACAACTGAAGGCATGTCTGCTATGCCACAAGCATCATGCAAGTTTAATCTCTCTCTTCTCTGTGCAAACAGAAAGCATGCAGCAAACTTCTCTTTTCCATTACACTACATTTCCAGAGGCAATCTCTGTTTGGATGCAGAGCCACCCAGCCAGCTGTGCTGGGAGAAATTACGCTTCCAAACTTTCAGCAACTTTCAGTGGGCCAACTTCCCTTGTGAACAGGGTTCAGGCTTAGAGGTAGAGTATTATCTTTATGTTCAGATAGTCAAAGGTTTGATCCTTGGCATCTCCAGGTGGTGTTAGGATAGACGTGTCTAAAACATTGGAGTTGTGCCAGTCAGCACACCTAATACTGAGCTAGATGGACCAGTGGTTTGGCTCAGTACAAGACAGCTTCCAATTTTCCTTAACACCCTAAGTACATGAGTTATGTCATATGTGCACAGACCCACACCATGTTTGATAACTCTCCCAGCCATATTTTTTCCCAATCTTATATGTCAGTTTCTTCTAAAGAAATCTCAGCACATTCCAAGTTTCTCATCTCAGGAAGAAACTAAGTGCTCATGGGGGTCTCTCTCAACCCTTCAGGTTGTGCATGAAGGCTGAGATTTCCTGAAAAAACATTGCAACCATGTCAAATGGTGTCATTGTGCCAGTTATATGGTGCATACTTTTAGTGAATGTGAGGGTGCTACTGCTGTGAAAGGCTGTCTAAATAATTGACATCTCTCCCTTTTCGTGATCATGCTTCCTCTTGCTTTGACCCAATGTCATGTCAGTCACATATCCTCACTGAAGCAGTGTTTAATTTATGATCATTTTAGGTACCAGGTAAATGCCTTTTTGTTCCCAGAGTCCTTTTAATTGCAGTGTTGTATAGTTCTCTTGGGATTCTAGGTTCTTCTACCAAATTGTTCCCCTTGTTATGATTTTGTAGTTAGCTGCTGTACTTATGTTGCTGTTGTTTGTTACGATTTTGTAGTATTTATGACTAGTTTTTACTGTTTAAACTTTGCATTGCTCTTGGAATTCTGAAAAGGTTGGTCAGCTGCCCAGAAAACCAAGTTATATGGATAGCCAATAAATGCAAAAAATAAGAATGTCAGTAAGAAAGCACTGCTGGTATGGATCAAAATAATATCCAGTCCAGCATGCTGCTTTCAACAGTAGTTCCAGAAAGTTCATAAGTAGGGCCTGAAGACACCAGGGTCCCCCTTCTTTGTCCACAGGAACTGGCATTCAGAGGTATACAATCTCTGCAGTGATCACAGCTAACATTCATTCTGTGGAAGATGGGGAAGTTGTGGGTCTTTAGCTGTTGGACTCACAAACTCCCATAACTCCTTATGTGGAGAGCCACAGGTTTCCCATTTTTGCTTATTTGCTTAGTCCCTTCCTAGTGTCACTTAAAAGTGAACCACATCCTCAAACCTTTGTTCAGCAAATTCCTCAAGTTAGCTACCAACTCCCTTTTTCTGGAAACTACAAGCAAGTCTTGCTTCATTGAACAAGTCTGTGTTCTAGAATTATGAGGGAGAAACATGTGCCTGCATCCACATCTTGTACAATCATATTATCTGCAGTTTCCTGTCAAAAAAGCCCTACTTGACAGTTACATTTGTTGTGCTCTATGAAACGACACCTGCAAAAGTGCTCAGTGGAGAATGCAAGTTCACCCAAAGCCATTAACATCTCATCCCCAAAAGATCACTGTATAGGCCAGGGGGGGCTTAAAGGGTGTCCCCGCCCCGCTTCCTGAGTGTAGGCCTATTACAAATACAGACAAGTTTCTTCTCCATTTAGTCTCAAATTGATTTAATGGAGGCAGAGACAAGTTTACACATACAGGATATGGTTAAAAATTAAAATTCTAGCCTTAATGTAAGAGGTGATATTAGCTACTTGCTGTCCCAAAATTATGGGAGCACTCAATTCCTCTTGACTTTTGCAATGCCTTTTAAGGGTGAGAAAATAATTCAATAACTTTGAAATTGTGCCAGAATAGCATTCTCGGCTCTGAAAAAAAGAAATCGTTGTATTCTTTCTGGCTCTGTGCATTCAGAAATAAGGAGCTTTGGTTAGAAAGAGGTGGTTTTGAGACATCAGTAGCTCTCCAAACTTTGTTGGTCTACAACTCCCATAATTCCCAACCATTGGCCTTGCTGGCTGGGAGTAATGGAAGTTGGCAGCCCAACTGAATCTGAAGAACTACATTTACCACCCCCAACATAAACAGAACGAGGCAATGGATGGGAGAGAGCAAACAGGGCAAGGGGAAAGTAGGTTTTTTTACTACTGCTGCTGCAAGGCTGTGTAAACAATAAACAAATCACCAGCATCCTAGGGAAAAAACACACAGAGAGAAATTGGGTTTGGTGTCAATGACCCCCAAACTCAAGACCACAAATCAGAATCTAACCTTGAGAAGGAAGAACAATAGTTGATTTCAAAGACTAGGGGCTATTTCATAGTACAGGGCAGAGTGGCTTGTGTAGACATGCAAAATGTTCCGGTGCAAGTCAGAAAAGCAAAGTTTGGACTGTTTTACTCAATATTAAGGAATGGACATATAATATGGCATCACAGGTATCCCCCATCCCCAGCAATACTCTCAGGAATGATAGTTTGTCTAGAATCATGTTGTACCTTCCAGATGTTAATAGAATACAACTTCCATCAGCCCCAGACAGTATGGTCAGTGATGACTAGACCTGTAGCTTAACTTCTGGTGGGCACCAGGTTGTCTAGAATTTAAAATACCCTATAATTACTAACTGAAATTCCAAGCAAGACAAAAGGAAATAAATAAGAAGCTCCAAAATGAAAACACAATCCCAAGTAGTTTTCTTTTATCACAAACTTTTATTTACAACTTTACAATGGCAAAAGATTTGCAAACCAATTTGCTATCAAAAGAGCACTTGACAAGAAGATACTTTGGTTGTAAGTGTCACTGGGTGCAATCCAGCTGCATTCAATTTTATGCATTTTGATATTTGCCTTCTGGGATTGCACCCACTTTCTGCAATGCAATAAAACTAGTGTAAACCAAAACAGCTTATGCAATCTGGGCCAGAGGCCTAAATATCCGTATAAAATATTATGCCTTCTTTCAACCAGTACACTGAAAATACTTCTTTTATATACAAAAAACTCAAACGCAACCGTTATTCAACATCTGCACAACTAGACAGACAAGCAGTAAAACTTTTATCTCCTAGCCACATATTCAGGCCCTGCCTCCTAGACACACACACTCACCAAGATGTACAGTTTTTAATTTTATAAATAAGTCCATTAAATCCCACAGAAAACTAAAAGCAAATACAACATTCCGTCTGGGAATAAACTTGTACATTATCTTGAAGGAGTTCAACCTCCAAAATCACGTAGAACAAATATATATATATATAGAGTCCCAATTTTACAAATATTGAGAGAAAATAAAATATATTGTTAGCTGGAATGGAAACTCGAAGACTCCGACTCTGTCGAAACAGAAGAATGTCCCCCTCGCTTGCCTTTGGAGAGAATCTTAAGGCTTGAGCCTCTGCTAACAGAGGTCAAAGCATTTTGGGCAGATGTCTTGAATTTGGCACCCAGGAAAGCATAAAGGATGGGATTCAGGCAACAATGGAAATATGCCAGGGCTTCAGTAATGGAGATCCATTTGTGCACAACCTCCTCAAAGTAACAGCCGTTCTGGATGACTCCAAGGAAGACAAAGGTGTCTATGCTGATGCCAATGTAGTATGGTAGCCAGCAGGCAAAGAAGGCAACAATGAGGATGACTGTGGTCTTCAAAGCTTTGCGCTTCTGTTGGCCTTTTGACTGTGACAACTTGGAAATGATAATGCAGTAGCAAGTCAGGATTATAAGACCAGGCAGGATGAGGCCTACTATAATATGCTGAAACCTGAAGGAAATTGTCCAGGTTTCGTGAGGGTAAAATCGCTGGCATACGTATTTTACACCTGGCTCACCAGTGACCTTTGTGCTAGCAAAGATGATATCGGGCACAGTCAGAAGCAGAGCTGGCAGCCAGACACCAATGTAGACGATCTTTTCCGCCAGCAACTTCCTGGGTCTCTGGCTGTTGGTTGCATGCACAATTGCCAAGTATCGATCTAAGCTTATGAAGGCCAAGATCAGGACACTGCTATAGAGGTTGACCGTATAAATGCAATGGACTACTTTGCACAAGAAGTTGCCGAAGTACCAGCCGATCACGGCATCCACAGACCAGAAGGGCAAAGTGATTACAAACAGGAGGTCAGCCACTGAGAGATGTACTCGATACTTGTCAGTCATGCTCTTCAGCTTCTTCTGATAGCCCATGACAACAATAACCAAGCCATTGCCAATGATTCCTGTCAAGAAAATGATGGAGAAGATTGTGGGCAAGAAGATCCGGTTGAAATCGGCGTTCTCCTGTCCAAAACATGCTTCTCCTTGGTAGTTGCCATCGTCACCAGAGCCGGTCTCATCGGTACTATTGTCAGAAAGGTCAAAAAAGTATGCAGAAGACAGCTGTAGAAGAATTAAAAGAACAAAAACTAGTTAGATGACAGCGAGAGAGCTCACAGTTAGTGTACACTCACTAGCAGCAAGCGTCAATGTTGTATAGCAGATAGCACCTTAGATTTGGCAACCAGGATTCAAATCCTCAAGAGTACCTCGAGGTGACCTTAAGCCACTAACAGTCAGTCTTTTCTTCTATGACTTTTAGGGAAATTAGAGTGATGGAAGCAGTGCTTTTGAGAACATTTATTATACTTTCATTAGTTGCAACAGACAAGGAAGGTTCTCTTTTAATTGTTTATGCTTTGCTACTGTAGTGTACCCAAGGGTTCTGTCATTCTGCCTTTAAAGCTCCTAATTCTGCAACTATAAACAATAACAGCCTAGTTCCTTTTTGTAAACTTTCAATTTTTCTTAACATATAGACCACATATTTTAGTTTCCAAGAACGGTCAGTGACCTAACCAAAAACTAGGAAGAAAACATGAATCTTTCAAGATAAGAAATGGAAACTAGCTGCGCAAATTAGTTCCAGACTAATTTGGAATTTTTCAATTTCTTTCCCCGCTGTTCTTCAAACACAAGGAATTTCCTTCATGGATCACTAGATAAAATCTTGCAAATCATGTGCACATAGTGCAACAGGTGACAACTGTTACAGGCAAGTTAGATCAGAGCACATGTGATATACTTGCAATACTGTCAATCACTGCTTTCCATTGCATCTATGTGTAGGCTATGAACAAAATAATACACAATGGGGATCACATGTGGTCTGTAGGGTTTTTTCTAGATGGAAGTGCTATCTATGAAGTCAAGTCATCATGACTGAAGTGATTCCCAGATGTACAGTAGAAAAATGAACATTAGTTCCCTATTTATCTTAATGACAAGAAGAAACTAATTTTGAAACAGAAGTAGGCATTATAATGGATTTACAAAAGCCACCCACTAGAGCTTCAACTTGGGATATGAAAGCAAACATCCAGACTCCCTTCAGTATTTCCTCTATGGAATAAAATGCTGGTCAGAAAATTTTTTTATGAACCTGAAGCAAAGTTTTTATACAAAGTTTTCATTAGCCATGCAGAGCACTGTGCTATACAGTTTCACATAATATGACCTGGAGCAGTCTAGGAAAGGGATAATGGATTACTGATCCATTAAGAGGAAAATCCAAGAACATCCATAGGGCCAACTCAAAGGACCTTTATTAGGGCCTACTAACAAGTTACAATGAAGTGGGGAAACCTGTGACTTAATGGAAACTCACTGGGTTGGATGTTGAGCAAACACACACACACACACTAGAGGAGGGGGCAGAGAATAATAAGGATGTTGGGCAAAATGGACAAGCCTAAGTCCTCATTAGATTACTGTTCCCCCGTGGCTGTTGCATAGGACTGCGTGTCAGTTGGAGGGAAAGGATATTTTTCAATTTTGCCCGCCAACAGAAGAAAAAAAGAGAAGTAGCAAGAGAAAGGGCATCTTAGGAAACCACCAGCCAAGCAGACAGGGAAAGAAAAGCAAGGGGAGGGCGTGGCCATCTAGGTACAGCCTGCCCCCTCAGGCATTGAGGTTTTTCCCCCAGTCTCTTGCACAAGCTTGTGACATGAGAAGGGCATCTCAGGAAACCACCAGCCGTTTGAACACTCAGACAGCGAATAACAGCCAAGGGAGGGAGTGGCTACCTGGGCACAGCTGCTGCTACCCAAGACTTTGAGAATCCCTCCACCCTCTGCATCTCTTGCACAATCTTTGCTCTCACACTTCAACAGAACTCAAGCAACTTTGTAGGCCAATTCAAAGCACATCTCTTTTTATTTGGGCCACAGATTTATTTATTTTTAACAACTTTTAAAAAGGAGGCCATCCTGGATCAAACCTGAAGCGCCAACATTGCTTTCCAACAGAGAAATCTCTTCCCCAAGCTGAACACAGATGTTCAAACTGCAAATGAACTAGGACCCTTTAGATCTTCACATCTCCAAGCATGCAAGGGCTCAAAAACTTATTCAGGAATTTTTGCTGAGGTCTAGAAATCCTTTGCTGAATGTTAAGTAATCTTTTGAACCAAATCTGTTACCCATTTAGCTAACAACTAAAGTTGGTATTATTCTGTCATGGATGATTTAGTTGAGATTCCTGCATTGCAGGGGGTTGGACTAGATGACCCTTGGGGTCCCTTCCAACTCTACAATTTGATGATTCTAAACAGCCATTGACCACCTGGTGTGATATACCCTCCAAGCAAACTTACACAAATCACAATATTCCTCTAGCTAACCTCCGCCACCCTTTGGCTCCACCTCCCCAGTCTTAAACGGATCCATCATACAGATCCCGCTGCGTGTTTAACTTGGGACAGGTAAACTTAAGAAGAAATCGTTACTGCTCATAATGACGAAAGGCTGCAGTCCTAAACCCTCTAATCTGGGAGTGAACTCCACTGAATTAAGGCAGGGCTCACTTCTGAGTAGACATAGCCCATTTCTAAATATGAGTTCCCACTGTCTTCAGCGAGTTCTGCACCATTCCTCTGGTTTTGTAGCAATGCAAGCTTACGACTGAAGAGAACTGGAAAGGCAAGGCGGCTTCAAGAGTGCTCAAACGCGCTCGATCCACCTTCTAACTTTTCCTCGCTTTGTACAGCCAAAGCGAAGTCACCGCGTTTCTAACCGCGCGCAGGGAAGACGGGAGAGCCACAGCCAAAGTTTCGCCGCAGAATAATCCTTCGGAATTCAATAGGATGCAGCTATAAACAAGCAAAGGGGTGGTGGTGAGCTGCTTTCTCCCGTAACTGGCTCTCAAGCCTAACAGAGACAGAAGGCATGCCAAAAAAAAGTTTGGGTTTTTTTGGGGGCAGTATGTAAACATGAGGCTTTTTTTAAGGGCAAGCTGCCGTTTTAGTTAAGTGATTCATGCCCTTCCCACCGCAACAGGTTCCTCGGGCTGCAAACCACGCGCGCACCCCGCCAGAGGTCCATCTACGATTCTACTTATTATTGCGTTGTGGGGAAGATCTCAAACCGCCAACCCCAACTCGCGCACATTTACGTGCAAGCAAGTCGCGTTCCTGTCCATGGAATTTCTCCCTAAGGGAAACTGAAAAAAGGACGCACGGAAGGGTGCACGAGCACGCGCTCCACGGCCGCCTCGACCCCCAGCTTTAAAAAAGAGGGAAAAGTCCGGGGGCGACTTTTCTACAGTCTCTTGCAAGGCTACTGCGCCGGCTATTATTGCAAGGTGCAGTCCCGATCTACTGCCAAAGGGCGAGAATCTGCTTTATTGTTAGAGTCCCTAGGAGCCTTAGAAGCTCAGAAGCAGATTTGCTTGCAAAGACGAATGAGCGCGCTCCCATCTCTTCGCCTCTAGGAGAAGCGGAGGCGTCACCCACGTCCAACACGATTACTATTGTGATTATTACCACTGAAACAGCCGCATGGCTGTGCTTGGGCTCTCCCTTATTTCCCGCGAGATCCCGCTCAGTTAGGCAACGCGCGCCACTGGAAAGCGGCATCTCCACAGCCCTCCAGTCCGAACACTCTTTCTCATTCATTCAGTCATTCCACCCCTCCGTCGTCGCGCCACACTTACACCCGCGCTCCGATCCATGGCTCCCGTGCTCTCTCGGCACAGCCTCGCCTCGCCACTTGCAGCTGCCGAACCAAACACAAACAAACTAAAGTTCTCGCGCCGGCGCCACCCGCGCTCCTTATAAAGGCGCCCTCCCCTCGAAGCCAGCCCGCAAGGCAGCAGGCGCCTCCTCCCAAGTCCGTAAGGGAGGGGTAGGGTGGGGATCGCGGCTAAGAGTAGGAGGGCGAGCAAGCGAGCGATCGGCAGAGCGTGCAAAGGAGGTACTCCGCGTGGTTCCTGAGCATGCGCCAAGGGACACCGCCGAGCTTTTCTTGCATGAGGTCGTCGCCGCGGACTACACGCCTGGGGGGAGGGAAGTCCCTAATGGATTTGCAAGGGATGCAAATCCTTTCACTTACGTTTGCCCACTGAGTCTACAGCTCCGCTTAAGAAGGCTTCGTTTTCCAGAATCCAAGGCTGAGGACTGAGTTCGTGTCTTCTGTATCGCCAGGGATTCCACGTATACTAAAAGAGGGAAGCAACCCAAATCAGACCCCAGAGAAACATTGTTAGCAACGAGAAGAGAAAGCCACCCTTAGAAGATGCAGATCATGTTCGTTTTAAGGAGAGGTCTCCGAAAGCGGCAGGCCAAATTTACATAGTCATAGTTTGCTCTTTGTCCGTTGTTTGGTACTCAGTGAACATGGAGGTGTTGTTCCATATATATATATATATACACACACACACACTATATATATATACACACACACACACACACACACACACACACACACCCATCTAAACTTGATTCGTAATCTATAAAAGTTCCCAAAACTGCAATCCTGTACATGTTTATTTTCGATTAGTCTGTTGAACTCAAATGACAGTTGCATACATAAGAATGGGTTGCAAGAAGAGTAAGCAAGGATAATGATGTTGATAATAATAAAAACATAAAATAATAATAATAATAATAATAATAAACAACATAGTGCCAAATTAAGGAAGATCCAACTAGAAAACTATTTATCAACACCCACAATACCGGAGAGATGTAAAATACCACATTAACTAGCACTGGTGAAGCCTTTGTTTGCCTTGAACAGTCAAGGATCATGTATGCTTTTCATTTGTACAATTCTAGCAAAGAAGTCTTTGTCACAACTGTGGTCATAATCCCGGTGTGTACTGCTAGTTTGGTGTGTTACACGCGCGCACACACACACACACTGCTTAACAGTTGGAAACTAATGCAGAATCACTGGTGTCTTTGCACTTGTTTGCAGCACTTTCCATGCATAAGTTTGTTATTGCTGCCACAATTTGTTGTGCAATTTTTTTGCAACCATCACTATACCTTGTGGCAAAGAATTTCATACATTAACTACTATGAGCTGTGTGAAAAAGTCGTTTAGCTGTTCTTACTGCCTTTCCAGTGTTTTCAGAGAGAAACAATTGCCACACTCGCCTTCCTTTAGACATTGTTTTTTTCTCCCTGAACCTAACCTCGTAAGCCTTTTTTCATATGAACTTCTGGACTTCTGATAATTTTTGTTGCTCCCCCTTTCTGTATAACCTGCAGTTCTTCGGTGGGGGGGCATAGCTCTATAGGATCTTGGTGCGTCGCTGCTTCAGGAGCACAGATCTACATGATTGTTGACTGGGCCAATAAGTAGGTTGCACAAGTGACTTAAGGTGGGTTGCACCTGTGGCATTTCATTTCCTTTTTTTAAAATAGAAGTGGAAAAATATGGAGAAGGAAGTTTTACACAGGCCTCCCCAGCTCTTGGGAATTGCAGTTCCCATACTGCAATACTGAAGGTTTTCTAGGCAGGACTGTTAGCAGTGTAGGTAAGGATGGGGAAAGGTGACAACGTGAAAAGAGGGACATAGAAGTCAAATCATTAAATTGGGTCCTACACTGCTGGTTTAGCTAAATGTTTTGAAGAGCCCAAGGACTGAAGCAGAAATGTTTCACCATCCAGTTTGAACCTGTCTTATGAATTTCAGTGATAAGGACATCTTTGATAGAATTCTACTGATCTGATAGAATGACAGATGACTTCATTTACAGATTTTCTGTAGGACGTACAAACCACTCTAAAACAGGTGTGGGGAGCCTCAGTTCCACCTGACAGTATTTTACTGTATTGTTTTGATATGTTTATTGCGGTAAACCATCCTGGGGCGTTCTCAACAAAGAACAATATACAGTGGACGCTCGGGTTGCCAACGTGATCCACGCGGGTTGCGATTCGGCACTTCTGTGCATGTGCAAAGCATGATTTAGCACTTCTGCGCATGAGCGACCACCGAAACCTGGAAGTAACCTGTTCGGTACTTCCGGGTTTTGGCGGTCCATAACCTGAAAAAACGCAACCTGAAGCATCTATAACCTGAGGTATGACTGTATGAGGTATAGATAAATAAAAACACAAATCTCTTGCTTCTCCCAGTTTCTTTCCAACTTTGCTCACTTCTTGCTTTTGGGCCTCATCCAGCACTGGCATGCAGCTCTTGGAAAGTTCCCTGTGAGGGAATGAATGGTCTGTCAGGCTGAAAAAAACTTTCCCCATCCTAAAACCAGCATCATAATAATCAGTATTCCTGTCTCTCCCACCCCAGTCCCATGTTTATAACTGGAAATGGAAACCAAAGAACTTGCTTCGCAGCAAATGGGCATGTTGGGACACAACCTGGATCTCCTGGCCTTGAAGCTCACTCTTTGGCAGGTGGGCCAGAGGCAACTGTCTACAGCCGGCATAGGCAAACTCCAGCCCTCCAGATGTTTGGGACTACAATTGATGGAAATTGTAGTCCCAAACATCTGGAGGGCCGGAGTTTGCCTATGCCTGGTCTACAGACTTTTCTCTAAACTCTACTATTTACTCTAGACTATAGAGTATTTACTTACAGGTCCAGCAATAAAGTCAAGGTTTGCTACATTGAATTGGCACAGAGGCTGGTTGTTCCCTCCTATTCTACTTTGCTGGTTCACAAATTAAGCTCATTCAGCAGTCAAAAGAAGGTAAAAGGTGACTTTATTGGTTCGATGAAAAACTCCCTTGAAGGCAAGGGTCTTCAAGAACAGAGTTTTCAAATGTCAATGACTATAAGATCGATCATTTATTTGGGAATCGGAACTGTGCTCTGCTGCTTTTGATGAAACTTAGGGCTGCTTGAAGTATTAGGCGTTTTCTTCGAGGACAGAACAGGGGAACCACCTCCCTCCCCTCCCAAACCAACATGCAGATAACAACACACAACCATTTCACTGAGTGTGCACATGCGGGGAAAAGGTGATTGGTTGTGGTTGTGGCTTCTCATAAGAAGTCAAATCCATGCATGAGTTCCATGCTTTTTATGATATCAATGTGTTTGCTTCTGTGTAGAAAACATGTCCTGTTTGAAGCAAACCTTACTTACCAGTCAATGGCTTAGTACTGCAGCCTTGGAGTGGAGTCCACAACTCATTTGTCTGGCATTAATTTCACTGGAATTCCTCCACAGTTAGTAGTTTTGGGATTATGGTCTTTTGGAGTTGGCTTTTAAAAAATGTATAGTCCCTGTTGTTACTCAAACTATATTTAAGGGATGGGGGGGAATTGTCTGAAAAGCTTCTTTTGAAAAGGAGTAGAAGTCTGTGATTAATGATTTCCAAAGCAATAAAAGAGGTGGCTATGTCAGCAAAAGCATCTCATTCTCTGTGTGTGCAACAAATCGTCTCTGAAAAAAACAGCACTTTTCCTCATTTGTTGATTGCATTAAATGCTCTGCTACCATGGAATAGGTTGTGAAAATTAGAATCAAGTCTACTTGTTAGAAGTTTTTGAAAACGTGCAATTTACAGTGTGGAACCTTAAGTGCCTTTACAATAATAGCATATCAGGCATCTGTGAATCATTAGCACACACTTGTTGAATGATTACAAAATGTTTATGACATTCGCTGATGAACAAAGTGTGACACTTAAATGTAACTGCTGAAATGGTTGACTAGCTTTTGAAAAGATGAACTAAAAGCGTCTTTAGTCACATTATTCTATAGATATAAGAGCCAAGCTTATGGCAGCAGGAGTCTTTGTTGCATCCGTGTCCTTGCCATGAACAGAAAGAGCACTTCCACTCACAGTGGAGGCATCAAGCAGCATCCTATGGTCCTATATGTTGCAGCTGTGTCACCTCTGTTGCTGCAGCCAGATGGAATGGTTACTAATAGCTGGCAACAGAGAGGAAGGAGGAGCCAAAGGGGCCTGTTTTCACTGCTGAGGAGGATGGGAGTGGGCCCTGGGATAATGAAAAACAAATGTTCTGTTACACCTCCCTTTCTGCGGCAGACAAATGGAATGGAAAAGGTATCCCCTATTCCAGACATAGGCAAACTCGGCCGTCCAGATGTTTTGGGACTACAACTCCCATCATCCCTAGCTAACGACCAGTGGTCAGGGATGATGGGAGTTGTAGTCCCAAAACATCTGGAGGGTTGAGTTTGCCTGTGCCTGCCCCATTCCAACCATAACACTGTACCAAGGGAGGTATGCACCACTATTGTCACCCGACTATTCCTACTTTTGATTGCGATTCTTCCATTTTGCTCATCCAAACTACGTGCTTGTTACTGAGTGACTACTGTCTAATGGCCTGTGCAATGAAGGCATGCTGTGTGCTGTGTAGCAGAAGCAAGACTATTTTCTCTATGGCTCCCTTTGTGGCCTCCAGCAAAGCACTTAACCCCTATGCCTTAACTCATCCATCTGTAAAATGGGATAATGCTGTTTTAAGTGCCTCAGAGGGGTATTGTGTGAGCTAATTTGATGCCTGGAAATCACCTTGTAAATGGACAGAGCTGTATTTCAGAGTCCCAAACAGAACACAGAAGGGAACCCCAAAGAAGGCTGTGGTCTTATTTTCTTCCATTGGGTAGGGTGTTATGTTCAAGAGGAAGAAAAATCTGCTCTCCTGTGGGATAGTTTACTGCTTGCTAAGACTGAACTGACCCTGACAAAATGCTTTTGAGCAACTCAGTTAATCTTTCTAGCAAACACGTCTCCATTTGTGTGCCAGCACAAGCTGACAGTTTTATCTCTGAGGATTACATAGCAGGGCAATGCAGGATGCATTTCCAGGACGTTTCCAGATCTGACATCAGAT